AAGACACCTAGTATTGGCAAATCTGGTGCTTGGCAGAAAAGTTTCCTAAACCTCAGATTGTCGGGAATTTTCTGTGCTCTGTGCATATTCATTCGTCTCACTCTAGAATCTAAATAGCAGCAGCAACTACCACACATGGATGTGCATCTTTTATGAGTTATATACTCTTCTAGATGCTTCACATCCTCATGCATGCAGTATCACTAAATCTTCATGACTTCATAGTAAACATTGTTGTAAAATTCCAAACTAACTCTAGAACCTCTATACTTCTAACCTGGTGCACTGCTGGCATCTTATCTCATGCCAATATCTTTTTTTTTTCTACCTGGACCATTACAATAGTCTCCTGCCTGACCCTGTATCTATTATCCATACACTAGCCCGAGAAATATGTTAAAAACAGAAAGAGTCTTGGTTCAAATCTATCCTGATTTGTATTGCTCTTAGAAGAAAGCTAGACTCCAGATTCATTCCAAAGGCCTGTGAAGACCTGTGTGATCCAGTCCTGTGCACTCCACATTTCTCTTGTACCCTCTTTCTCTTCCAGCTACACTGGGTTCCCTTCGCTAATGGTGATTGTTGTTAGCTGTTGTCCAACTGACTTGGGGCAACCCTGGGCACAACACAATAGAACCATTGCAACCCACAGGGTTTCATGGGTTGATTTTCAGAAGTAGAACACTAGATCTCTCTTCCTTGCTCACATTTGTCTAGAAGCTCCACTGAAGCCTATTCCACATCATAGCAGCACACCAGTCTCCACTGACAGATGGGTGCTAGCAACGCATGAGGTGTAGGAATCAAACCAGACAGAAGGAGAGACTCTACCACTCAACCAACACTGACCAATCTGTTCAACCGATTCTGCAGGGTGTGGCTGAAACGCAAGTCTTCCGTCTTCAAATTATATGCCCCTTTCCTTTTGTTTTCTACTTCTTTGCCACTCAGTGGCACTTACTGTTACTTGCAAATACTTATTGTCCTTGTTTTCTGTGGTTCTCCCATTGACCTGCCAGTGAACCCAATGACAGAGGCCTCATCTCTAAATACAAACAACGCACAGTGCTTAGCACAATGACCGGAATTTGGCTGTTTTGATATAAAATGTTTGCTGCATGTACAAAGGAGTCTACTTTACAGATAATAAATAAGCTAACTAATTTGCCTGAGGTCACAAAATTAATAACAACTATTCTAGGACCCATCTCACAGGGGAGAGGAACATTCTGTTAGGGTTTACATAACCCTCTCTCAAAAAAAAATATATGAAGCAACTTCAAAAAGTTCATGGAGAACTGGAATTAAAAGCCAATGGAATCTTTCCACAAACTTTCTGATGCTCCCTTGTATATATCAGTTTTATCCCAAAGGCCTTACATGTTTGTAACTGTCTGGTACCTTCTGTGCTTCACACAGCACCTACACCACAGCTGTGAATGTCCACATGCTAAGTACATGCAGATGGTATCTTGGTTGGGAGGATTTTGCAACACTGGAAATCCTTAAATTGTTAAAATGTGCTTGTCTTCTCAAAGCATTTGTCTTAAATGCTTTCTACTCTGACCAGTGGGAAGCCCTTGTGTTTTATCAAGATGGAATCTGCTCGGGTCACTGATGGATTCCTTTGGCCAAGAGGAGACACGGCAATTCACACCAGAAAGTCTGTTCCATTGCCAAACATACATACAGAGATGCTCTGTGGATGGGTCTAAGACTCCTTCTCACCTGCACAGTTCCGCTGAGGCTCCCAGTGGACTTTGATTCCCTCTCTCTGGCAGGCCCGGGTGTAGGCCAAGAAGGACTCGCAGTAACAGTTTTTATGGACTGGACATTCACACATGTCTGTCACACAGGACCTGTGGGACGCAATGGGGAGAAAAGAACATTTACAAATGTCAAATCAACAAGCACTCTAAGTCTAGCTTAAAGGGAGGGACAGGCAGGGAATTGACTGTTAAAGGTTAAGGGTGTGGAGAATGGTTGCTAGTTTAGGTAGGAGACTTAAAAACGGCATAAAGATTCTGTACAAAAGCTAGGAATTGTCTGAAAGCTAGGCCTCTGAACAATGGCACCCACCCTTCTGGGACAACGTTCTCCAATAGAATCTGTAATGGTGGAAGTTGTCTATTACATACAATCTCTGTCATCCAAAACAACAACCATTGTCTGTACTTAGACTGTTGAGCACTTGAAAGATGGCTAGCGCAACTGAGGAACTGAATTTTTCCTTCTTTTGAAACTTTTTCTTGGGATTAAATGAAGTTTTACAAAACAGATGATCAGTTTTACATTCAACATATGATGTGCTTAGTTTCATCTCAGTGACTACAGTCCCCTCCATGTAACAACAGTTATCCCACTTCCTTCCTGTGCTTCTCATTGGCATTCTACCCTCCTTTCCTACCCTTCTCAACTTTGTCCTTAGGTAAATGTTGTCCTATGGATCTTGAATGGCTGGCCATTCCATTGTGAGCACACCTTACTGGTGGTGGTGACATGCCACTGAGTTGGTTCCAACTCATACTGACCCTTAGATAGGGTTTCCGAGGCTGGAAATCGTTACAGAAGCAGAAAGCCTCATCTTTCTCCCTCGGAATAACTGGTAGGTTCGAACTACTGACCTTGCGGTTAGCAGCTCAGCTCGTAATCCACTATGTTACCAGGGATACTTATACCTTGTTTCATTGTTATTGTTGTTAAGTGCCATCAAGTTGGTTCTATCACATAACAAGCCTGCATAGGGTTTCTGAGGAGCATCTGATGAATCTGAATCACTGACCTTGCAGGTATACCTTAGAAGTTCAGTTGTAATGACCTTAAGTGTAAATAGCTACATGTGGCTGATGCTGTCCTATTGGAGTGGCAGCTCTCAGGATATAGTCACCAGCCTAGGTCCCTCCATTGATGTCAACTGCATTGACATAAAAACAAACAAACAGGCTTTTCTACAAAATACTGAAAGTGGTGAACAGCTTGATGCCGGCATAAGATCCCACAGCTTTCTGAAGACTCTACTTAAGTTCACTTTTGAGGAACACTGTCTTTTGAGGAACACTGAGCTTTCATTCTGTAGAATGTGGGGCATCAAAGTCCCTCCAAAAGCAAACATTCAGACCACTAATTACACTGAAAAGAAAAAGACAGTCGAGCTACATCGAGTCTCTGTAGTTTTAAGTTTGAATATAGAAATGACTGACAGGCTTGTAAAGAGAATGAAAATGTGTTTGAACGCAAAACATATTCAAACACACTCGTCTCTATTGTTGTTACGTACTGTCGAGTGAGGCCCAACTCCTAATGACCTTGTATAGGTTTTCTGAGGAGCGGCTGGTGGGTTTGAACCACTGACCTTGCTGCTAGCAGTCTGGTACCGCACCAGGACTCCTAACAATGTCCTTATATTGGTATTGAGTATTACAACTTGCAAAGTGCTTTCACATGCCGTCTATTATTGAATGACAAACAAGGCAGAGTACAGTCCCTGTCTTATGTAAATGCAGGAGTCATGGTAGAAGTGAATAGGGTGGCCCCAAAGCCACACTACTGTGGTTGTTGTTACTGTTGTTGTGTTGGCCCCTGACTCATGGTGACTATGCACAATGGAACACAATGCTGCCAAATGCTACATCATCTCCATCATCAGTTACGGCTCAGATTATTGGGACCCATAAGGTGTTATCTGGCTAAGCTTTGGAAGTCGACCTCCAGGGCTTTCTTCCTACTCTGTCTTAGGCCGGAAGCTCAGCTGAAACTTGTTTAACATCACAGCAGTACATAAGCCACATGGTAGTTGCACATGAAGTGGTGTTGTTGGTAAGTACCGTTGAGTCTGTTCCGACTCATAGCGACCCTGCACAGGGTTTCCAAGGCTGTAAATCTTTACAGGAGCAGAAAGCCTCATCTTTCTCCCACAAAATGACTGGTAGTTTCAAACTGCCAACCTTGAAGTTAACCACCCGATTCGTAACCACTATGCTACCAGAGCTCCTTTCACATGAGGTGTAATGGTAAGGAATTGAGCTGGGTCTTCTGCATGGAGGAAGAGAGTTCTATCGCTGAACAACCACTGGCCCTCAAAATCACCCTAGTATGTGGCTAGACAAAGAATGAAATTACCTTGCCCAATTCTGAGACTTAGTTTGTGGAGCTGTGGGTTAATGCACTGGACTGCAAGATTGGTTTGAACTTCAAGAGCGACAGTTCAAGCTCACTGGTTGCTCCTTGGAAACCCTATACTGGGTCACTATAAGAACCGACTCCATAGCACTTAATGACAATAACTAACTCTGAGACTTTGTTGTTTTTGTTAAGTACTGTGGAGTCGGTTCTGACCCATAGTGACCCAGCACAGGTTTTCCGAAGCTGTAAATCTTTACGGGAGCAGAAAGCCTCATCTTTCTCCCACGGAACAACTTGTAGCTTTGAACTGCCGACCTTGAAGTTAGCAGCCTGATTCGTAACCACTACGCTACCAGAGCTCTGGCACTAGTAGTCTTTAAATCAGACCAGACCATTGTGTTGCCATCTTCCAGTAAGGTCACTGCCTAACAATTTTGACTCAGTCCTTTACTTGAAATATGTTACATAACTTAAAAGCTTGCGAGATGTGTTTTTGTAGCAGGAGTTAAGGCTATAAGATGCCCTCTGTTTTTAAAATCATCAAGCTGATGATTTGTAAGTAACCAAAAATTTCCTTAATGCAAGAGGTTACTGAGATAACTAAACTAAACTGATTTTTTTTTTTTTTTTCTACCCTTTCCTCCCAGAATCTAGTTCAAGGAAGGAAACAGGGGGAAAAAATATTCAAAGACTACAAAAATTGCATCTTGAAATGTAATTAAGACATGGCCATCCAATGCTCGTACGCCATGTTTTCTCTTGGTGTGGTGACTGCTGCACACCAGATGGCCAAGAGTGACCAGCTACCTCTGGGTAGATGCCAGCACAATGCCTCCTATCCCGAGAGACTTAAACAGCAAAAAACATATGGAAAAACCAACAGACCTAGAGTGTACCCACAAAGTTATTACAGCCCAGTGCTCAAAGGGAGAGTTTCTCAGAAAACATCAACGATGAGAAACTAAAGGACAGATCTGAAACCTAAGAGGCCTCTTCCACTTCATCAACATAGGCATTATTTAATTCATGATACTTAAAGCACAATAACTAGAGCAGAAAAGTGGATCTCTCTCCTCTCTGTAATAAGCAAGAAGGTATTTCTTAATACCTTCTTCCACTTTCATTTCAGAAATTCTGTGAAATCATGCTCAACAGCAAATCCATCCAGATCCTAGACACACAGTGCAGTGACTTCACATTCAGGGAGACTCTTGTCTTCCAAAAATAACCCATATAAAACTTGTCATTGAAACAGCCTCTAACCCCAGCTCAACATTTCCTTTGTTGTCTCAGTTTTCACTTTAGACGGACTCACACCAGCCACATTGATGCTCAAGCATCACAGCGCCTTGTCTGAGTGGCCTAGATTCTAACCTTTAACCCTGTCCTACTTCACTCACAAGAGACTCTTCTTCCTATCCTCTTTCACCCTGCACCATGGGGTCTCTTTCCCATGCTTACTGCTCCCATTCCGGTGACACAGATGGACTAGCATCTAACAGAACTGCTGAAATTACTGAATTATACAGGAAAAGACTGATCTCACTATTAGAAAACACATCCTTTGATTTGATAGGACACGTAGTGCAGTTCTGTAAAATTGTTTGGACAGCAAACAAAGTTTAATTTGTTGGGGTAAAGGGATTACTAAGGAGCTCTGGTAGCATAGTGGTTACGAATCCGGCTGCGAACTGCAAGGTCAGCAGTTTGAAACTACCAGCTGCTCTGCGGAAGAAATATGAGGCTTTCTGCTTCTGTAAAGATTTATAGCCTTGGAAACCCTGTTCAGGGTCGCTATGGGTCAGAACTGACTCAACAGCACTTAACAACAACAACAAAGGGATTACTAGTGAATTACTCATTTCTTATCTCTTTGCTTTTATTGATTATCCAACGAAGCTCTTTATATAATGTAAAATAAGTCATAGACAGCTAAGGTTGGAGGTTTGAATTCACTCACAGGTGACTTGGTGATTTAATGCTGAAAAATCAATCATTTAAAACCCAAGGGAGAGATGGAAAACCTCAGGAACTGTTCATGGTAATGGCTGGACATGATACACACACCAGAGGGTTTCAAAAAATATGGTGGGAAATAAAAT